GAAACAAAAGACTGTAATTGTTTAACTTTCTTATTGTAGAGGTATATAAATAAATGCACAGATCTTTTTTTTATTGAAGTGGCATATAAACTCTAATAAATAAACCATGGTTAATGGAGAGGGAAAAATAATTTAAGGAGATTGACCTTGGCTTCACTGACTACAGCAAGGCCTTTGTCCAGTTCATGCTAGAAAATGAATGTGTTAAGGCTAATGAAAGTACCAGAACACATTCTTCAGAAGTACATTTATAACAAACAGGATGCTACAGTATTGTAAAAAGCAAGCCTGGAGAAACTGTGGTTTTTTACCATTTAACAATAGGAAATATGCAGGCAATGTTAGCTGAAAGTAAAGAAGAGCTATGGGAAAGAGCTTAGAGTAGCACATTATGAAACAAAAATGGAAGTGAAAAATCTGTGTTAATATTAAAAAGCCAAAGGTAATGTCAACTACCATGCTTAGTGAACTCACAGTTGACAGTGAAGAAGTGAAGACAATTGTTTTGTTTTCTTTTTTCCGGAAGAGATAAAATTGAATAGTGTCCTGAAGAAAAGAGTAATTCTAGAGAAGGCAGCAATGGTAAACTTAGCAAGTGTATAAAGGAGAAGAAATTAATTTACTTTGGGCATTTGTTGCAAGTAGAGAAAGGACTAGAACATCTACTATGTTTAGCAACATTAAGGAATGTGGAAGAAGGGGAAGGCAAAATATAACTGGGATGGATGGCAACAAGATCACCAGAACATCAGTTGAAGAGCTACAAATTATTACATGGGACAAATCAAGATGGTGGGCATTTGTCCATACAGTCAGCAGGGATAGGGCCTGACCTGGTGGCAACTATCTAAAATTTCCCTAAAGCAGAAAATAAAACCAAAATGTCCACATATTAAGAATAAATACTGAATATATACTGTCTACAGAGATGGAAACAAGGTATATATGCTTTATGCAATATGCCAGCCAAGCTCTATGAAGTTTAGCACCTACTTTAAATCATGCAACTCCCTTCTTCTTGCTGTACTGGTACATGGACTTACAGCTGAATAATCCACAAGGTCATCTATTTTAATGAGTGACAGACTTTTGTAGCCTTTACATTTTTTTTAAGTGGAGAAAATATGCTTAACTCTTTTTAACAGCATCCTGATTTTAGATTTTTTAAAATATATACGTTTATAGGTTACCTAAATTAAGTGAGAGACATCCATCACAGGGCTAGAAACCAAGAGACCGTGAGTTCTAGTTCCACTTTAGATACAAACCCAGATAGGTTATTTTGGCCCAGTCATTCTCTTTCAGCCCTAGGAAGCAGGCAATGGCAAACTATTTCCAAAAAATGTTGCCAAGAAAACTGCTTGTCCAGGCAGTTGCCAGGAGTCAAGACCAACTCAAAGGCAGCAAAAAGAGGAAAAAATGAATACAATCTTTAAAATTTTTGATCTGTGAAGTAGCACACATGTCAACAAGATATTTTCACTAATTATACATTATTATTTTAAGCATATACAAAACAGAGCTCTTTGTTACCTGAATAGAGAATTTTTCCCCTGGCACAGGTCAATCTGAGTATTTCAGAGGCAGTAGGTGCATTTCCAGACATGTATGTTCTGAAACAGGATGATAGCCTTATTGTTATGGACACAAATCACATCCTGTTCTGGAACACATGTTCCTAGAAATGCATGAACCACCCACAGACCTGGAACATTTTGGAACATCCCATTCCTGGGGAAATTCTGAACTATTTACCCAGCTTCTTCATCTTCACCTTCATTATAATCTCTCTTAATTTCTTCAATTTTCTGACAGAGTGATTATATGAATGTGCTGAGCAAATATCAAATCATGTTTAGAATGGGCTACTGCAAAACTAGGTTGGCCCAGCAATGTTAAAAATAGATATTATAGTGACTATTAACCTATGGAGCATCACTGAAGATACTGTAATAAACAAGACAAGGATTAATCTTTTGAATTCAGCTGAGAACATTATGTTCAGATGAAAGGCTTGGAATGGAAAGCTTACCATCCACTCTTAAAATCAAAAAGTCTGTATTTTCCCTCACTACCACACACGCAAACTTTGAAAGTTAGCCAGCAACAAATTCACAACGTTTAACTCTTCTCTTCAGCAGACCTGACGTCTCCACATCGTTCTGTTACAACTCATGTCATAATACATCACGTTAACTAACCAATTGCAAAACAGCGGGTTCTATTCCGCAAAGGGATAGAATTCCCAGGGCTTTCCCCTCCAGCCTGACTCTGAAGTTACTCTCTCGTCCAGTGGCAGAAGTTCAACACTGACCTCTCTGACGTGCCTGACCTGCTGCCTCTCGAAGAGAGAAACAAGAGAGGAAAAGAGTGGGGGGAAGGGAACCGGCATCATCTCCTTCTTAACAGGAAAGAGACTCCGTAACTTTGCTGCAGTCCAGACAACTCAGCCGAGCCTCGCTTGCCCTCCTGCCTAGGAGAGGAAGGTCGGCTGCCGCTGTTTCCAGCAAGACGAAGCAAAGCGAAGACAACCCCGGGCAAGATCGCGCCGCTCCGCGTTCCGCGCGCACGCGCTCATTCACTCACATGTGAGGGTTGCGCTTGAAAGCGCTGTTTATGTCCTTCACTACCCGCTGCACGAGCACGGCCACCTCCTCCGGGGACTCAGCCATCTTCGGGCTGCTGCTACCGCAGCTTACGACCGGTAGCAGCGCCGCCGCCGTCCCGCATAGGAAGGCCGAGGAAAGCAAAGCGGAAAGCGCATCCGGGTCAGAGGCCTCCTCAAGGCGGAGCACGGAGCCTGGAGAAGCGAGTAAACTGACGGAGAAGGACCGCCTCCTCCTTTCGCTTGACCCTGCCCGGAGGAGCAGGACAACCGAGGGAAAATATGAGGAAAAGAAAGCTCTGAAGGGTAGATTGCTAGTACTCAAGCAGGGGAACAAAAACGATTCTGTCCACCATCCCGCTTTCCATCCACACTCCGCTATACTTTCTTCACGAGTTTGCTTGCGTGTAGGAAATCCCTGGAGACATTTTAAGTTACTTATTCTTGTTTAAAAGTAATCGAGGGCGACTTCATAAAGTATAAAACGATATAATTATAGAGCCCTGACACAACCAACATTTCTAGGGTCTTATCCTGAGCGCCTTTCTTTAAAAGTAAATTGAATGGATATGAATGGACTGCAATCATTGGGAAGTGAAAGTATTCACTTTCACTCAGTAGTTAGTATCAATGCTTACGGTATTTACTTGGCAACAAATCCCACTGAGTTCAGTGAGGCTTACTTTCAGGTAAGTATGCATAGAAATGGCGTTTTTTTTTTTTTTTTTTGAGTAAGCAGGCACAGTACTGCATTGAGATGCATGTGTAGTTTAGATTGTAGTCTTGGAGATGACATCCATTGAAAATCTGCAAGGAAAAAAGTAAAAGTTGGCTCCATGAAACCGAAATAAGGGCCTCTTGAATTAATATTAGTTTTATATTGAATCCACCTGAAATTTCCAATTATGATCATGGAAAAAAAAAGATCCCCATCCAGCAATTTTTTGTGACACCATGGTGCAAAAATGTTAATCCTCCTGGTTATTTTTATACGGGATCCACATAAAACATCAGATCACATCTGTGTTCACAGACTATATTATAGCAATTAGAGCAGATGTTTTGGTGCCAGAGTTATATTTAAAAATGGGCGTAAGTGACAAATCTGCATGAATTCTCATGATCATCCTGTGGAATGCACCAGCAACTATTATAAAATCTTAGAAGATATCTTCCTCCAAGACTAAATCAGAGAAAGTATGAAGCAAAACCCTGGATCTGAGATACGGTTCTTTCAAATCATAATATTGTTTATGTAGGATCCAACTGAAACTATAGATCATACCATTAATAATATACCATGCCATAAAAATAATGGGTCTCCTATATCATAGAGCAATCATGAAATAAAATTCAAAAGTTTATATTGTTCCTTTTAAGAGAACAATATAAGCACATTCAGCGTGAACTTTGTTTGCCAAGGAGTATTACTACCACAGGGGGACGTGGTGGCGCAGCGGCTTAATGACGCTGAAAGTTGC